AATTATATATATATATATATATATATATATATATAACAATATTTTTTTATTTATATATATGTACATATAATATACTTTAAACAATTAAATTTGCAATCATGAAGCGCATGCGCAAATAAATTAGCGAAATGTAAAATGCTTGTTACAAAAAGTGTCGATGATTTTAAATTAAAATTAAACATATATTATACATTAATTTGATGAAAATATAAAAATTGTAAAAGATACGGGAAAAAATGAAACCACCAGAAGAAAGTGCGTAAATTGTGGATGATCTAGATTCATCAAAGTGTTTTTGATGTAAAATTCGTGGAATAAAAACTGTATGTCTCGTTATTTTTGAGGTCATTAACTTCCAAATATTTTTATTTAAAAATATTCGTAACATTTGATTATTTAATATATAAACTTTAAACTCTTTTTAAATGTGATATGACACCTTATGTATTTCATTTATACTTTTTTCACATAAGGTTAGGTATTTAAGTATAAGTATGTCGAGTGAGACATACATTGACAGGAATATAATATAAAAATTAATTAATATTTTCAATTTAAATAAAAATTAAATTTTTCTTTTTAATTTAAAAAAGAATTTTTTAAGTATTTTATTCATTTTAATGTAAATATTTATAATAACAAAATCAAAAGTTGAATTATAATAACTTTATAATATAAATGTTAAAATAATTTAAATAAATTTAAGAAAATGGCAGAATTTGCAAAAGATTTATTAACTAGTAAAGATATACAAAAACAGTGTAATGATTGGATTGAATCACAAAAAAATTTTACATATACTGATGAAATACAATTTAAAAGGAACAAATAGATGACAATGATAGTTATAATACTGATTCTGAATTTGATTCCGTATCAGAAAATGGTGCAAAAAGAAGAAGAGTTGGTTTACCAGTAAAACGTGAAGTTTATCATCTTTCTTGTGAATGGATCAGCTGCAAATATGAAGCCAATCATGTTGAGAAATTTATAAATCACGTGGCCACGCATGTGTCAGATTTAAATACGCGGATTAATGAAAAAGACATTAATGTTTATATATGTCAATGGAGCGGTTGTTTATATGAAAGTAATGATCCTGATGAGATTTCTAGGCATGTTAATTATCATGCTTATCATACTAAATTAAAATGTATTGGATCAAATATTCGTACTAGAATCAAATTACCTGTAAGTAATTATTTCTACTTCTATATTTTTTTAATATATGCTATAAATAAATTTTATTTTATAAAATAACATAAACATATAAACACATATATAATATTTTATTTTTACTTGAAATAAAAAAATGATATTATTTAGATAATATGTTTATGAATATATTTTTTATATAATATAAATTTTAGATATTAAATTGAAATAAAAAAATGATATTATTTAGATAATATATTTATGAATATATTTTTTATATAATATAAATTTTAGATATTAAATTAAAATTTAAAAATTTACTTTTATATTATTTTCAATTTATTTCAATTTTGGTTTAAAAATCAATTGGGATATATATAAGTATTTGTAAGAAAAAAGTAAATATATATATATAAGTAGTATATAAAATATATATATAACAACATATAAATTATAGATTATATATTTCAGAAATGTTGTAGAGATTCTGAATGGAAAAATGTTGTGGATCTTCCAGCACCACTTCTTTGTCGCTGGGAAGAATGTTTGAAATATTTTAGAAATTATCAATTATATTTATATCATGTAGCTGCTCATATTCAAGAAGGTCCAAGAGGTAACAAAGTTGAAGGAGGTTTAGAATGCAAATGGACAGGTTGTAGCAATTTATATCCTAATTTATACAAATTGAGAGATCATATACGACATCATACAAAGGAAAAAATTGTTGCTTGCCCTGATTGTGGTGCTACTTTTGCTTCTAATACAAAATTTCATGTACATTGCAAACGACAAATTCCAATTGATGGTAAAGTTTTTAAAAATTTTTATTCACTTATACATATTACAATCAATTTAAATATGAGTAATTTTTTAAATTATAAATATATTTAGAATAAATGTTAGGATTTGATAAATAAATTATTTTTAATATTTATAATTTATATTAAAAAATAACTAAGTTATATAAAAATAATTTTTATTAGTTCAAGGATTCCAGTGTTCTCATTGTAATAAATTTTATCCCACTGAAGGAATTTTGAGAGATCACATGCAAATGCATGTTTTTAATTACAAATGTAGTCTTTGTGATATGAGTTGTGAATCACCAGCTAGTTTAGCTAAACATGTTAGATATCGACATGTTTCTACCAGAAGTTTTCCTTGTCAACTTTGCAATCATGCTGCTAAATCTCAGCAAGATTTAGATTCACACATGACAGTTCACACAAATGGACCTAATTTTTCATGTCATTTTGAAGGATGTTTATATAAATGCAAGGGTGCATATACTCTTGATAGGTATTTAAATGAAATTTTTATTTAATGAATTAATAAATTATTTATTGAGATAAAGAAGATAAAAAAATATTTTATTTTATTATTATAAAAAAAATTGCATTTTTTAATAATAAAGAAAACTACATTTTAAGGCATATTGAACGAGTTCATAGTATGCAAGTGCGATGGTATTGCTGTCATGAATGTCCAATAAAATATAGAAAAAGCTATAGATTAACAAAACATTTAATTGAAACACATCAATTACAATTACCTAGTGGTCATACAAGATTTCAATATACTCATGATAAAGATGGATGTTACAGACTACAAATGGTTAGATATGAAGCTGTTGAAGAAGAGTTAAATCCTTCTATCAATCAATTAAAAATACAAAATAAAAAATTTAAAATTAAATTAAATAAAGATTCTAATGTACCGCAAATTGAGGTAATTTTTTTCTTTAAACTTGATATAATATTTTAATATTTATAAAAGATAAATAATTAATATACATATAACTTCATTCATTATTTATTAGATTTTTGAAGATTTGAATGAAACTGAAACAAAAGATGAAGAAAATGAAACAGAAGAAAAATCAAAAGGAAGAAAATAATGAAGGAAAATCTATGCCTGTCATTTCAAATATTTTGATAACGATTGATGAAACTGATGCAGAAGGAAATATAATTAGAAGTCGAGTTGTTGAAGCGCAAGAAACTATGGAATTACCACCTTCTGATGGACCACCATTAATTCTAACATAAAATTTTTTTAATAAAATTTAATAGTATATCATACATCTTTATATTATAATTTTAATTTCATGATCAATATATTATTACAAAAAAAACTTATATATTATTACAAAAAATTGCAAATTAATCAATTTGAAATCAAATAATTCATTTCTTTCAATACTTTCTTTAAAAAAAAATAATTTATTAAAGTAATGTATGGAATTATATATATATTAATTAATTATGTTATTTATATGTGAATAAGTAATGTTAATGTGAATAAATAACGTGAATAAATAAGTTCATCAAATGTTCAATACATCTTTTTTAAATAAATAAATGTAATATTAAGTATATAATATATTAATTACGAAGACAATTGAAGGTCAAAACAAGCTTCATCTTCTATTTCTAAAGAATCAGGTGTATCCATTACAGCAATTAATTCTCCGTCAAAGTATAATTTAATTTTTGATTTTTCAATATTAAACTCTTGAGCACATTTCTCTAACAAAATTTTGAAATTTTCATCTCGTTTAACAAAAATGGTTAAACTTTTCTTATTTGTTGTTTGTATCTTTATCATACAGACATTCTTATCATTTTTTTCTATCACATTGTTTGAAATCATATTATTGTCTTTTTTAATAATACCTCCCTCTGTAAAAATATTTTATCTTATTCTTATTAAAAAAAATATTAAAATAAACTATAACTTTATATTAAAAAACTTAAATAATAATCATTTTACCGAGTATGTCTATTACAGATAAATTAATGGAAACTGGAGTATCATCCCTTTTAATAATTTTATCTTTTTTTGTTATTAAAATTTCATCAATTGATACTTGTTCTAAATTAGCAAAATATTTAAAAATTTGTCCAAAGTTTTCATTCTGAAATAATGCATCTAATTTCATTTTTTAGATAAATATATTAAACAATAATAATTATAGATGTAAAATAAAAATGTTATAAAAATTTCATTTGATTTAAAATTTATATATAATTATGAAATATGTTATATGTATATACTTGACAAATATTCAAACGATGTATATTTTTTGATCGCCAAAGAATTTTAATATTTATTTCATAATTCTCATTTTCATTTGGATTTGGATATTCAGTTATATTATCTTCAACTATATATAAATCATTTTCTGATAAATTTTTTTCTTCTATAGAAACAATTTCTAAATCTGAATCTGTCTCAGATATATTTCTTCTCTAAAAATATAAAAAAAATATAAATATAGAATATATTTTGTTGAATATAATTGAACAAATTAATAAAAAAATTATATTTTAATTAGAAAATTAAGGAACATTATTTAAAAGAAATTTGTCCTTTTTAGATATATAATATTAATGATATAACTTACTTGTTTTTGTTTTGCTGATCGATGCTTAGAACTGTATTTTTTGTTTCTTGTCTTTCGATTTGTTCTTTGTTTTAAAACAGTATCATTAAAAATTTCAAATCTGTAAATTAATAATTTATATAAAATATGTATCAAAAATTTATTATTATATTTATTATTATATTTATGATAACAATGAGAAAAAAAACATTAATGAAATATAATATATGAAATAGAAAATTATAAAATTGTATAAAAACTAATTTTTTATGAACTTTATTCTATATGTATTAGACGTGCTTCAACTCTTCATTATTTGCTTGTTTTTCCTCTTCCTTTTCTTGATCCTTACATTGTGGTAATGTTTGCTTTTTCTTCAAGGCTATAGAATTAAATTTTAATTATAAAGTATAATTTAATTTCGTTGTTTAAATTAACAATACTTAAACAATATTAAAAATTAAGAACAAACAAAGATAAAAAGAAAATTTGTATATTTACCTTTTAATTTTGCAACAGAATTTAAATATATATCATCATCATCTTCAGATGAACTTAACTGCACTGTTTCCATTGTGTAATTTATATATATATATATATTTTATTATCACTTATTATTAAAATGTTAGAAAGAATATAGATTAAAATAAAATTAAATTTCTTTTATTTAGTAGGAAAAATAGGGTTAGATTTATTATCTCTTGAACACTTCAAAATATAAATTTTTCATACACTACTTCAAGAAAAAACAATATAAATGTAAATTATAATAATGATAATTAATATTATTATTTGAAAAAATAAAATGAATAATATTTATTAAAGAAATATAGAACAAGTTTAATTTTCATATTATAAATTTTTTTCTTTTTACTAGTTTAAATTGTGATTGTACTGCCATCTCTAGAGAATAATTTTAATCGAATATTGTTTGATAAAAATTTTTTGATACAAAAAAAGAAATGTGAAAAACTAATTCAATGATTAATATGTAGATTATTATTTAATTAAGAATCTTTCTATTATTAAATATCATTATATATTTAATTATAATATTAATTTTAATATTATATAATTTCAATATACTATACAATAAATTTTAACAATTGAAAAATATACAGAAATATCATACAATTCTTTTTAAAAATATAATTATAATAATAAAAAATTGATTCACATATATATATATATTTAATAATATTTTTTTGAAATAATATTAATATTTGACTTAATATAATTGTTTTAAATATAAATTATATTGATTTGTACTTAGATTATATTCAAATTAAATCTATATTTCAATTTCAATAAATATATTATCAATAGTTAATTTATAAACTAATTGTTAAGGAATCCTACAAAAAAACTTTTTTCTTTCTTTTCTTTCGAATATTACGATTGGTGCGTAACTTGGTGACGTAAGTTAACGATAGTTTTACTTGTGGACCGTATTGAGTTCTCTTTTATCTTTTAAGATTCTCAGTGAAACGAAAATCTTCGAATATCATGCTAGTTACACTGCCTATTTAAGATCAAGTTTATGTGTTATCTCTATCATCACTTTCGATGATAAGAATTATTTTTTTCCAACGGAATATTATAAGTAACGATTTTCCATTTTCAATCGGTGAGTATGTCTTCTGCTAAATTTCCGGTTGACTGTCATTCCAAAATTTTATTAAACTTCATGAAAAATAACTTGTCAATAACAATTTGTCTATTTTCACTTATATTTTTTTATATTTTTTAATTGTTTACTTAGATATGAACATTGATTAGATTATCAATATATTCATTATTTTTTAAGATTCGTGATTGGAAATCTTTCTTTAATTGAAAATTTTATTTCTATAAAATGTGAATGATTGAAAAGAAAATTAAATAAGAGATATTAGAAGAATATTTTGTAAATTAAAATCTAACCTTTTTATCATATAGTTTCAGGTGATATGGTTGTTGCCTAACCTAAGTACATACTTTATTAATTATTGAATGCTCTCTTATGTATGCTATGTGTAATTTGTTATTATTATTTATACTTATTTTTATTTTTTGTTGTTTTTTTTATTTATTTTTCTATATTTATGTACTTAAGTGATAAATTATTGATTTTTGTATTTATATTTAAAGATTTTTTAAAATATATTTAGTAATATTTAATTCTTAAATTAAGCTAAATTCATGATATTATATGATTAGCATTAAATAATATTGTAATTTTCATTAAAATAAAATTATCCAAATCGATATGTACAAATTTTATGAAATACTATTATGTATATACATATGTAAGTACATACAATATATATGTATATATATTTATATAAGCATTTTTATCTATATTTTTCTAATTTAAAAAATTTTTTTTTAATTTTTATTAAGATATAATATTACAAAATTTTTGAACATTTTGAACATTGTGAAAATAAAATTATTCATATAAATTTGTTATATAATATTTTTATTATTTATATATTATAATATATAATTAATATACATTAATTATATATTAACAATATAATTATATTACAAATATAATTAAATTAAAGATATTTAAATTAATAATGCAATAATAAATACACATGATTTAAACAATTTATAATTATATATTTTTACAATATTAAATTCTAAATATTTACGTAAATGATAAAGATTCACAGGAAAAATTTTTACAGAGATATTAAATTTTTTATTTTAATTATTGAAATTACAAATGCACATAAGTTAAATATAATAAACAGAAATTAATATTAACATAACAGCAAGTTTATATTTTTTTTAAATATTTTTTCTATATTAAAAAATTATTTTATTATTATTAATTATTATTGATATAATGAAACTATCGCAGTGAAATTTGATAGAGTAAAAGATTTTCTTAAAAAGAAATCGATCGATGCTTGTCCTACTTACAACTTATTAAAAATTGCTGAAGATATTAAAAATAATTAGGATTATTTTAGAATCTGTTGATTGTTCATTGTAATTTTTAAGAAAAAAGAATAAAAAAAGATCATATACAAATATTATTTAGATTTATTATTTAGATATTTATTATTAATTAAATTATTATTAATTATTAATTAATTTAGATATTTATTTTTTTTATTTAAAAATTGTAATTAATTTATCTTTTAATAAAAGATTAAGTTTGTGAAATATGATTATTAAATTGGCGAAATAACTACTTTGTAAATTAATAACTACTTTTATGTAGATATAATCGACAAATATTTTTAATGTATATAATAAATTAAATATTTCATATGTAACATTGTTCGACAGTTGATATTTTTGACTAATCACAATAATATTTGAAATATTAGTCATTAATCAAATTGATATTAGCCTTCATAGAAAATGAATGATATATAGATTGTTTTGCATCAAGAAAATAGATTCGAATTAATATTCGGACACTATAATTTACAAGAAATTATTTTTTTATATATTTGTTTATTTATTTATAATTTAAATTGATTAAATCGAATTGATTGTCTTTTATTGTATTAAAGTTTTCTTTGTAGTTAGTTTCGTTGCTTTTATTTTTTAATGGATGAGAAAAAACGCGAAAAATGAATGAGGAATTCGAAATGAATGAGGAATTCGAAATGAATGAAGAATATCGACAAATCATGAAATTGATTAAGTAACGATGTTTTAGAAAAGAATAAAAAATAATTCTGAATATAATTCTGATAATTC